TATCTATTGTTTTTTATTTAAAGCAAAAATAATAAAATAGTGTAATAACCTAACCTAGATGCATATATATGTGTGTGGTGTGTGTGTGTGTGTGTGTAACACTGGACGCCATGTTGGAATTTAGTTCCATTTTACCAACGTCATATTTCAGAGAGCGCCACAAATGCTGGTACCACCGGGTCCCATAGAATTTATATGGCAGTTTGGTGGCCCTGGTCTGTGTGGGTTGAAATACTAATTTATTGTATAGTATATATCGAATGTATAGTATATAATGTATAGTATATAGAATGTATAGTATATACACTAATGTATAGTATATATTGAAATACATTAGTACTAATGTATTAGTACTAATATATTTCAATATATACTATACGTACTTTGCAATATTACTTTAATATTTCAAGTTTGAATACAGATATAAAAATAATAAATTAGGAAAACATTTTTTAAGAACTTAGGAATCACTGTGCAAAAAATAAAAAGACTTTTTTACACACCTGAAAAAGAAAATAATTGTTAAAAGTTATTATTACTGTACAGAAATAGCGATATTTGCACTTTCGTTTCTTGAAGACTAGATGGTAGAAAATTTAAAAAAAATTTAAGTGTGTAAGAATCGACTTCTTAAACGTACCCTCAAAATTTGAAGTTATTCCTTATATTTCAGCAAAATCGACCAAACCACCTTAATATTTATTTCCTTTGTTTTCCTTTATTTTATTTATTGAACTTTATTTACTTTGTATAATTATATATGTTACAACAGGTAGTTGTTCTGGGTGCAGGATATGTTTCCGCACCCTTAGTCGAATATTTACATAGAGATGCAAATATTCGACTAGTGGTAGCGTCACAATTAAAGGATGAAGCTGACGTTCTGGCTCAACGATATCCAGGTGTGGAACCAGTCTTCTTAAATGTACTGGATCGTCCGGATACATTGCACGATATGGTAAAGTCGGCAAACGTAGTTGTCTCTTTGTTGCCGTCTTCGTTGCATCATGTTATTGCAAAAGCTTGTATTGAAACTAAAACTCACCTGGTGACAGCTAGTTACATGAATAACGACGTCAAAGCATTACACGAGGAGTAAGTTAAAAACAATATATGATATTTTAATTTTTATTCTTATTTTAACAATTTTTATGCAGAGCTCAACAAGCTGGTGTCACTGTGCTTAATGAAATCGGTTTGGATCCAGGCATCGATCATCTTTTAGCAATCGAATGTTTCGATGATGTGAGACAAGCAGGCGGAAAAATAGAATCTTTCATCTCATGGTGCGGCGGATTGCCTGCACCAGAATATTCCTACAATCCTTTAAGATATAAATTTAGCTGGTCTCCGCGAAGTGCATTACTTAACACCTTATCGCCAGCAAAGTATCTTCATGAGGGTCAAGTAAGTTTTTATAAATAATTTATTGTATAAATAAATAGTTCGCTAGTAAGACGTAGTTATTTAGTGTTTTGCTCTTCGTATTTCAGGAAGTGAAAATTGCAGAAGGCGGTGATTTAATGACCACTGTTCAGAACTTGGACTTTCTTCCTGGTTTTGCCCTAGAAGGTTTTCCTAATCGAGACAGCATAATATACAGAGATTATTATGGTTTACATAATGCGAATACTGTGCTACGAGGTACACTCAGATTCAAGGGATTTTCAAATACCGTATCGGGTCTACAACTGCTTGGTATGATCGATCCCAATCCGCATCCGATTCTTCATCCTAATGGTCCTGACATCACTTGGGTGTGTACTTTTTTTGCATTGATAATTTTTTTATTGTAGCAAATGAAAGCCACAAAACATACACACGGAACAAACAAACCTACATTAGATGTTTATTAGACGTTACATAAAATTATGGACATCCATTATAGACTTCTAATGATGTTATGTCTAGGTAAATAAATGTTTACGTTATTTTATATCCAAAACGTAAACATTTGTACTAAACTACTAGAAAGAAAGTTGTAATTTTTTTGTGATATTTTGTATTAGATATTTACTTTTATTCATTATTTGAATTTCAGCGAGTGTTGGTGTGCAATTTGCTCGGTTTGGCAAATAATAACATTTTCTACGAAAATTTAAAGCAAAACCTGGCAGAAAAAGTGAATTCATGGGAACGTATGAAAGCTATTGAAGATCTAGGTCTTTTAAACGAGGACCTAGTTTTGAAATTGAACAGTCCTCTCGATACACTTACGCATTACTTATCAAAAAAACTCCGTTATGAAACAAATGAACGTGATATTGTGATATTAAGGCACAACGTAGATATACTTTGGCCAGACAACAAGAAAGAGTCTAAAGGAATCAATTTGGTGCTTTATGGAGATACTAACGGGCATTTCGCAATGGCACGTACCGTCGGATACCCTACGGCTATTGCTGTCAAAATGATTCTTGATGGTTTGTAATCTTTCTTTGATTTTTATACGATTGTTTATTTCAGCTAATAAAAGATGCTTTTTATAATTGTATTCAGGTGAAATTCAACTGCGTGGAATGGTGTTGCCTTTTACGCCAGACATATATCGACCCATTCTCAATCGACTGAGAGCGGAAGGTGTAGAATCCTTTGAGACTTCTAAATGGTTATGATATGTATTTATTATACATATTTTATGCATTTTTACATCAAAGTGTATATATTTTGTTGTGTATTCAAAAATTAAATGTCAACATATTTGATAATTGATACTTTTGCAGTATGTTATACCGTATACAAAATTATTCTACTCAAATCAAAACTATTATTTTCCTCTAATACCCAATTTCTTCATCTCTGATAAGTTCTCGATATCTTTATCTAGAAGATAAAGTATATCTTTTTGTATATCTTTATCCAGAAAATAGCTATAGAGAGGTATCAAAAAATCGACCTAACAAAATATCTTTTAAATAAAAAAATAAGAAAAAGGCAATAACGAGCTACAATCCGATGTTCAAGTAAAATTCTTTTTTTGATTTGAAGATTAAAAAAAAATATTAACAAACGTTTCGACCCATGATGGGATTTTCTTCAGTGTTTCAATAAAAAATTACAAAAAAAATCATGATCTATTCGAGACAATCATGAAGAATATGGATAAGAAAAGATACCCTACAAAGATATTCAGTTTGAGAAATAAAGAGGCGGAAGTAGCAGCTAAGTAATCGTTAGTATGATGCAAAACGTCCTCCCACTCAAATGTAACTGACAGACTGAGTAGCCTCTTCTATATTCAAGGTACATGTAACAGTCTCACTTTCACCACAACACTTGAACCGAACGAAGAATGACTAAGTCGCCTTGTAATATTCCAAAAGTGAAAAATATGGTTTCAACTTGTCCCATGTTTAAAATGACATTAATTGAATTGTTTTGTAATTTGATGTGTATTATCTCGGAGACGAATCTTTTGAAAAATGAAGATTTTGTGTCCAAGACTTTGATATTTTGCCAATTGAAATTGTGGTCCGTATCAATTCTCTGCTGTGTAACTACAAAAACATTCTCTACGCGACAATTAATCTGATTTTTGTGTTCCAAAACACTAGTCTGGAGTTGTCTCATAGTCTGACCCACGTACAAAGCATCACGATCATTACATTGCAACTTATAATAAACTACGTTTTTTTGTTTAATATTTATAGGATCTTTGATATTTTTGATAAATCAATTTAATTTATTGAGACTTCTATAAGCTAACATATATATTTCAATCTGCCGTTTACAACAATTTTGAAATCATGTGCAATAATTTATTAATACAAGGTACAACAAAACAAGTTTTAACGGTTTTTCAAGTTGGTGTGCTCCAAACTGTCCGATATTCCGTTAAGTTTGTTTGCAATCAGATATTTTATTCCCATCATTGATGACTTTAAAAATTATTTCCAACGAATAGTTGTTGAAGATAAAGACGTTGATGATTATAACTTTTATATTTTTTGCTTGAAACAGGATCGGACAACAGAGCTCTGTCTACCATTCCGATAATGGTTCCTATTTTTTGAGAGACTAGGTGTGAGAAGTGATAATTTAAATACCTGTTTGAAAACATGGGCTTATGGTACCACAGTCGCACATGATTGTCCCGTTATTAGACGGAATTAATAATAAGGATTATTAATAATCAATTTGACGTCTAAAAAGTTCAAAGAATTTCCTGCATCTCAATTGTGAACCTCAATTTGTCATTATATTTGTTGACATTATTCAATAGATAATTTAAATCGTTAGTGAGCGCGGTTAAAATAATGTCATCTACATAACGGTAATAAAAAGCGGGTCTAAATTTTAATGATTTTAAAATAGAAACTTTCACATCTTGCATTACTATATTCGTAATAATAGGGGACAATGGAGAACCCATCGGTATCCCAAATGTTTGCTTATATATATTATTGTTAAACAACAAATAAGTGGATGACAAAACAAATTCAACTGTCTTCAATAAATCAGAAAAAGGCATCTTTGTTTTGAGTCGGATGTATTTCTATCTAATCTTGATGCTTTGCATGGCCAAATCAATCGGAATGTTCGTAAATAATGAGACCATGTCTAAAGACAGAAGAACATGATCAGGTTGCAGCACAATGTCGCCTAGTTTATGAACCACATCAAAACTGTTGTTGATATGGCTATCGGTTAACGGAATACTCTTAACAATGATATTGTGCAAATACTCAGCGAAACAATGTAGGGGGCTATTAATGGAAGATACTATTAATTTATATGAATAACCCTGTTTGTAGACACTCCATAAGCCTTTGGGATGATCCCATCACTCGATTTAATACATCTGTAAATTAAATCATTAATATAATCTTTCTTTACCAAATTTCTTAACAATTCATTAAGTCTTAATATTTTTGATGGGATTCTTTCTTATTTTTTCGTAAGTGAGAGGATCATCAAGTAAGTCGTTAATTTTTTCAACATAAACAGACCGGTCTAGCGCAACCGTCACACTCCCCTTGTTTGCACGTATGAACACATGTTTGAATGATTCCTCCGGAACTCGGAAGCCTGCTTTGTTCTATCAAATAAACCGCGTTCTATATCACTTAACTTGGGTTTTGAAGTTAAAAAATTATTCAGAGATAATATTAAATTAGACCTAGCGGTTTCTACAAATGTCCTTTTACAGTGTCTTACGCTATTTTCAAAATTCTTAATAATCTCGATAAGATCTCTCTTGTCGGTGCTTGGCAGACTAAAAATTTCTCCTATGTGACTGTAGTAACCTGACTACCAAATCAGGAATGTTGTGATTACTTAAGGTGACAAACCATTTATACGAATGAATAGTGAAGGCTCGTGAAAATTGAAACTAAGAATGAAAAGGCCAATACGAACCGTTCCCAGGATGTTGTGCAAGAATAAGCGCGCATGTATATATATATATATATATATATATATATATATATACACATGTATGAATTCACATGTAAATTATTTTTTACATGTGGGTTTTTTGAATTGAAATTTCAATTCTTAAAATCATATAGGATGCTAGATTTGCATCTTATATATGAAAGATCCCAGATACCCCCCCAACTAATTTGAAAATATTACGAAAAAAACTCCTCGGCCAGGAGTCGAACCTGGAATCTCCGGCTTTCCGTGCCATCGCCTTCCCTGTTAGGCATATATGTAATACTTCTATTGCTAGTACGGTGCCGACCTGAAGCCCAAATGTTACGGTGCAGACAATATAGTAGCCTCTCTCTCGCGCAAGGTCCAGTTGCTTTGTGCGCATGCGGTGAACATTCAAGCACGCTTGGGTATTTCTCTTTCTTGCGTTCTTTCTCTCACTTTCCAATGCTTTGTCTCGCTCGCACTCGCTTAGTAAACGCGCCTGCGCATAATGACGCTCGACTATCTATGCCCATATTTGGACTTCGTGCGTCTCTCTTTCTCGGGCCTCGTGCCTCTCATTGCGAAGATACGCGACTAGCAATATAGAAGTATTATATATATGCTGTTAGGCCACCGAGGCACTTGGAGTTTGTCTCGCAATATTCGTACATAAATCGATGTTCTGATAATTTTAATAACGCTTATCATTTCAGCCAGCGTAAATTCAAACGAATGAATAGTGAACCCAGACGGCACAATGATGTATTTAAGATGTCTTGAAGATATCTCACAGAGACTTTGAATGTGCAAAAGATATCTCGTTGAGACATTTTCGAACGAGTAATGATGTTCAAATAATATCTCAGGGATATGCCTGAAACTGCTAATGTCCACATCAAAAACATGCAAATAATATCTCTTGCAAAAGTTTTAAAAATGAGGGGAATTTCGAGATTTCACTCGAATTAGTTTTTGAAGTCCTGATACAGCTCGCCGATCAACCGATAAACTCCACTGAAAGGGACCGGACTTGAAAAATCCTAAGGTGATTAAGTGAGATTTGAACTCGAGACCCCCGCAAGCCCATATCCGCAGCCCCTGCACTCAGTCCGCGAGGCCACTTACTTCTTACTAAATTATAATTGTTTTTATCTACTTATTCTTGAGCTATTGTACACATTTTGTTTATTATTTATTTTAATTATTATTTAATGAAAATATTGCAGTGCAATGTATANATTGCAACTTGAGAATTGATTTTCATATCTCGCGCAAAATATATTGTGCGAAGATTTGTGATATCATCAATAAATATTTCAAATATCATAAGAATATCACGGGAGTGTAATACACTGCATTCAAATTTCCTATACATTAAGCGAAGTCTTTGAGATATACTTGAAAGAAAACAGTACTAATATTCTTAAAAGAACATCTGTGTAATATTTCAGGGATGTGATATCACATGATATCACGAAAATGACGTAGAAACGATATCATTCTACAATCAAATGATATCATGTGCCGTCTGGGCAGAGTCGCCTGTGTATGTAGTTGGAAAGCACCCAATGTCATTTGCTGTGTACGTAGCTNAACAACACCTGAATTTGCTACTTAACCACATGGTGAACGATAGTGCTTCTGGATGCAATCATTGGTACTGAACCAGATTAACGAAATCATGTAAACATAGCTTCATTCAATAGAGTTTTGTAATTAAATTATTATAATCGATTGCGANAATATATATTTTACTTGCAGAACCCATAATTTTTACAATAAAAGATGTTTTCCAATCTTGAGTAGGTTCATGCATATNTTTTACGGCTTTATAATATATTTTCCAATCATTGAATGGAGGCCAGTATGCTTTTTCCTCATTTATTAACCAATTATTTGGAATAATTTGTAAACCATTTTCAAATTCTACTATATACTAATTGGAATCCTTCTAAAATAAGATTTTACGTTAAATTGTTTCTTAATATTTACTTCCAATGTAATTAATTTGATTAA